GGGGGCCAGGGTCACCATCTCAGTGCCCGGGGGCCAGGGTCACCATCTCAGTGCCCGGGGACGAGGGTCAGACTCTCAGTGCCCGGGGGCCAGGGTCAGACTCTTAGTGCCTGGGGCAGGGCTGGCCAGGCAGCTAACAGACATGAAGGAAGCAGGCGGACAGACTCCCGAGACATGAGATGTGGCCACATGTCATCTCCCTGGTTTTCTAAAGAGGTCAAACATCAGGATTTTCTGCCAGCCACAAGGGGGGCAAATCCCTTCTTGGTGCTTGCTGCCCTGACATGACTTGCTCGGCATCCCCACACCTGAGAAAAGTCAGGGGTCTCTCCCCGTTTCATGGCTGGGACAGCCAACCTGACAACATGTCCAGAGCAAGGCCACCCAGTCCTGGTCCCAGAGTGACACTGCGGGGGAAGGGAGGCATCGCCCCAAGGCCCCCAGCGCCTGGGAGAAGCCCGTGGATGGAGGGCGGGCTGGCCTCTCCGAGTCTCCCAAGCTGGATTAGCTTAATGCTCCTCAACCCTTCTGTCACAGCAGCCCCTTCCTGTGAACCTCCGTGTGAAACGGTTAAGCGGGAGTGCACTAGTCCCCCTGGGTGGGAAGCAAGCACTCCAAATGCTTGGGGGCCCACCACCCCCGGGACAACGGCATGGCACCTGTGGGGTCCAGTCTGGAAATCTGTGCAGCCAGTGAGGAGACAAGAAGCTGGGGCTCCACCGGGAGCCCCCGCTCATCACTTCCCCTTCAAGACCCAGACTCGTGGGGCCCCCGACCACCCCTTCCCCTGAACACCCCCACCACCCGGCTCCCCCCACAGACCTGCTGAGGGCTCAGACCATCCGGCATGGGGCCCAGCTCCGGGGCCGGGGGCTTGATGTCCGTAACGCTGACCTCCAAGAGCCCCATGTCCTCCTCCTCCGAGTCACCTGGAAAGTCAGATGGGCCAGTGATACATGCAAAGTGAGGATAACATACCCTGCTCAGCCCCCAGGAGTTGGGAACCACCCTGGGCCAGGGTCCCGGGGCCACAGAGGGTCACTCACTGCTGCACTCTGCTAGATTCGTCTGGCCAGGAATAAAGGAGTGAGCAGGGGAGCACAAAGCAGCACTCCTCGGGGCTCCAGCTCTCAGCAGGAACTCTGCCAGAAGTCACTGTCCCCGCTCAGACCCGCCCGCTTCTGGCCCGGTGCAAGCCAGGCCGCCCATGTCTCCATCACTAGGCACTAAAAATAGTTTTCTTCTGGATGCCCAAAAGGGGGAAGAAAGTAAGCCCCAAAAGAACGGGACTACTAAGCTATGTTTTTGTCTTTTCAACAAGAACAACAACAACAACAACAAAATGCAGAAAGACCCAAAGGGAAAAAGTTCAACTGGGCCGTGCAGACATAAGTGGGGGCAGCTGTCGGACAGAGGGCAGGAGACAGACAGAGCCTCGGGCAGAGAGAAAGCGGGAGGTCAGGCAGAGTGCAGGGATCTGGCCTTGGACAGCTCTGCCCCCACAAGAGAGACACAGGCACAGGGAGACGGGCCCTGAGCTGCTCTGGTTCTGAAACCCAGTGGTGGTGGCCATGGGCAGCAGGGCACTGCAGGGAAGCCGGGAAGAAGGAGGTGGCAGTGACCCTTGAGCCAGGAGCCGAGGGAGCAGGGACACCCAGGCAGGCCCTTACCTGAACAGGAGACAGAAGACGAGGAGGAGGAGGGACAGTGGACCACAGTGTGGGGGTGGGGGTGGTGAAGGCCCTCCTGCCTGGCCCACATGGTACCCCGGGCATCACTCTGCACCCACCCCAGCCGCCAGCCCCGTGGCTTCCTCTTCCCCCACTCGCCACTGGGTAACATTCTTGGCCAGCGATCCGAGCCCTGCCGTGGCTATTAATAACGCCTCTGGTGGGAGGGTCACTTTAGGCAAGGCTCTGGGCTGGCGGGCGGGGTGGGGAGGGCTTAGGGAGAGCCTGCTGCCAGCCTGGCCAGTCTGGGGGTGGGGACGGTGACCAGGAACAGCTCCCAGCCAACCAGCCTGTCCACCCTGTCCTTCCTCCAGGCCACTCCACCAAGTCTGGAAGGGCTCCCTGGCCTGTCCCCTCCGTCATCAGGGGCCAGGGCTCCCCCAAAGGTTCCATGCTGCATCAAGTGCATGCAGTGGTGGTGTTGAACCCATTTCACAGATGAGCAACCGGCCCCTCTGAGAAGGGGAAGAACTGCACAAGGTCGTGAAGCCAGGAGGCCATGGAGCCGGGATCTGAACCCACGCCGGCGAGACGCCGTCCTAGCACCAAACACCTCCACTCAGTGACTGCCCACCGAGAATGACATCGGCCACACCGGAGCCAGGAGCTCTTTCCACGCACAGCCTCGGTCATTCTCACCATGGCCCCCGAGACAGATGCCACAGCAGCCCCATCGTACAGAAGAGAAAATGGAGGCACAGAGAAGGGAAAGCGCCTAACTTTTCAAGAGGGCACAGAGTCTCAAAGTTCTCCCTGGCCTGAATATCTGTGCTGGCTGGCCTGGCTCCAATCTCTCACGCCCACCCCTCTCTCCAGCCACATGGAGCCTCTGTCATCCTTTCTACGCCTGTGTGTCCCCAGGTGGGTCACTGAACCTCTCTGTGCCTGTTTGCTCATCTCCACATGGGAACAGGACAGCCCTGTGGACTGTCTGGTGTCTATAAGGATTAAGCAAGGAACTGTCAGGATCGTAAGAGAGCGCCCAGCACACGGTAAATACTCAATAAATGTTGACTATCGCGAAAATCGTTTCTTGAACGTCTCCTACTGCCCCGCTCCGGGGCCTTTGGCACATGCTGGCTCCTCGGCCCAGAGCACCCGTTCCCTGCCCCACTCCCCACCGCCTCACTGACCTGGGTCTCATGCCCCTCCTGCTCCCAGCCCTTCGCTGACCATTCATCTGCATTGTGCTCCTCCATGCTCCTGCCCCCTCTCCCCACCACTGCTTGTCAGCCTCCGTGGTCACTTCCTGTTTATGTGAGCTGGGAACTCCCAGAGGAAATGCTGCTTCGTTCATCTTGGTGGCCCTGTACCCAGCATGGGGTACAGCACTTGGGGGGTGTTCAATAAATACTGGCTGGTGGACAGATGGGCGATGGACCAAGGAAAGAGCGGGAGCGTTCAAAGATGAGGCCAGGTGAGCCGAACAGCGTAGGAGGCAGGAGGCCAAGACTGCCAGGACAGAGACCAAGGACAGGGACGCTGAAGGGAGAGGCCCCACCTCCCCCAGAAAGAGGTGGGTTGTACCTGCGAGAGGGTGGGAAACTGGCTGGGACCAGCCAGGATATTTGGGGGTCAGTCCCCAACCCCTACCACCAGAGGACCCCAGACCCCAGGTGGCTTTGCCCACCCGTCCCTGCTGTCACTGAGCTGAGCCCGAGCCTCCGGCCAGCCAGGCCCACGGCACCTCACCGAGAACATCTTTCCTGTGCAGAAAGGACACTTTGCGCATGACGGCGATCCTCGTCTTCTCCAGCCCGTCCTTAGTCCCGCTCTTGGCAGCCCTCATGAGCTGGGTCATCTGAGCAAAGGCAGAGGGGCTCATCAGAGAAGCTGAGGGAGGCCCCAGGATGCCTGCCACCAAGGGCCACCAGCCCTACCCAGGCCTCCCAGCCGGAGCTGCACACATCAAGACCCCGGGGCCCATTCACTTCCAGGGAGGTGGCAGCAGAGACCAAGAGGGACAGCTAGGCAGTGGCACCTGAGACATCCCGGGACCAGGTGAGAAGGGGCATTCGTTCCCTGGGGGATCACACCCTGGAGGAACCCACTTAATCGACAAGAAGGGGTCTTAACCCGACTGTCTCCCTTTAGGGAAAGACTCGAGGCCTGGACTGCCAGGCCTGGGTTCAGATCCCAGCCATACCTCTCGGGACAAGTCACTTACTTAACCTCACTGAGCCTCAGTTTCCTTACTGAGATGTGCCAAGGTCTGTGAGGACTAACAGACGGAATCCAGGGAAGCATGCTGAACAGTAAAATGACCTGTGCATGTATCCATCGTTACTTCAGGGGACGTGAGTGCACACCCCCATCCCATCTGCCAAACCCAAGTGAGGAACCCCTCCGCTGCCCCCCAAACAGCCAAGTTTCTTACTGAGCCAAGGCCCGGGAAAGCGGGGGAAGGCTGAAGCGGCCACAGAGCAGAGCGCAGCTTCCCCTGTGCGGGGAGGGACCCGTGAACACCATGCAGCAAGCTAAGCAGAATGGCAGGCGTGCCCAGGAGGGGGAAGCCGGTGCCCTGAGCGCTGGAGGAGCCCAGGGCCTGCACACAGAGTGGCTGTCCCCTAAGTCATTCCTGCACCCCTCAGCCCTCAGCCCCCAGCCCCAGCATCTTCCCCAACAGAACTTCCCCTGCAAGAACTTCCTACAATGATGCAAATACCCACTGGGGGTCCACCAGCTGCAAGTAACTCCTGGTACAACTGAGGACCCAAAGTCCTGATTATATTCCACTATAACTGATTTAAATTTAAACAGCCATGTGGCTGTCCTAACAGCCAGTGCCATTCTCAGAACACTCTCTCCTCCCTGAGGCTCTCTGCTGAAGGCGGGGAGCATGCCTCTGGGGGGCTCCAGTCTCTGCTCTCACCATCACCTTCCTCCAAACAAGCCCCTGGGGACCACTCCCCACACTCCTTGGGCCTCTGGCTTGCAAAAAACCCACTGGGTGCTGGGCCTGGGGCAGAGGGTGGTGGCTTTTCAGGAACAATGCTGACTTTCTGGAAACAACCAGCAAGGGAAGGGGAAGTCCCCCGGGCCTCCCTGAATTTAAATGGCACAATTCTTCAGCAGTGATTCTTGGCCTCTCGGGATGGGTGGGGGGGGGGGGGGTCATAAACCCCCGTGATAATCTAAGGAGAAGGACAGATGACGACCCCAGAAACTGCACAAAGATGCTCATCCTCTTCTGGGGGAGGGGTGGGGGGGGGTCACAACCTCCAGATTAGAAACCTCTGCTCTGAGCTCGGTTTCTTCCTGGCAGAAAGCCGAGGCAGGAAGCTGCCCTACAAACTCCCAAAGCGGTCTTCTCTTGGCATTTTCCTGGGCAAAAAAGAGCAACAAATGAACACCCCGGAAGATGTCCCTGAGTCAACCTGCCGCCTCCGCCCATCTTCACCATGCAGGGGCCAGGCCGGGGATCCGAGTCCAGGGTCCCAGCCAGGGCAAGAACCCCGGTGGAAGACTCTGCCCTTCACATGTTCCCCACTCCTCTTCGGGCCTTGGCCTTCTGAGAAGTAAAGCCCGCCCCCCTCGGGTCACAGGCCCCCCTGTGGCGCATCTATATAAGGGCCCTGCAAACTATAAAGTGTCTGTCCCCCTCCTCCTGGGAGGTCTCGGGTTCCAACGGAATGGGCAGTGGCCCAGGATGGAGACCACTCAGCTTGGGCATGCACAGACCCAGGTTTGAGTCCCAGCTCTGTCGCTGCGACTACCAGCCTGCTGATTCACTCACCGGCCTCACTGATGCCAAATGACAGCTGCCTCCCCGGGTGCCCTGGGGACAAAACAGTCAGGTGCACAGATAACAGGGGCCATCACCCACCGAGCGCAGCATGGAGCACCTTACAGATCTGAGCTCACTTAACCCTTCCTTCCATCCAGCCTGGGGGCTGGTACTGTTAATGCCCCCATTTCACAGGTGAGGAAACCAAGGCTCAGAGAGGTCAAGAGGCCTGCCCAGAATCACACAGAGAGGAAGTGGTGGGACTGGGATTCAAAGCCAGGCCTGCAGGCCTTCAAAGCCCATAGCACATAGTAGGTGCTCAATTAAGGGAAGCCCCTGCTGTGGATGTCATCATGATCCAGAAGTCTGAGTCCCATCTGAGAAGAAGGTGCTGTGATTTCTCCCACAGATTTCCTTAGCCTGGATCTCTCTGAACAGCTCAGAGGGGCAGGAACGTCCAGCGTCACTCAGTGATGCTCACATTTTTCAGAGTGTAACTGTCACCCACCGCCAGCGTTATCAAATTTGCAGATGCCTGGGCATTAGTCCAGACCTCCAGAATCAGCATCTCTGGGGATGAAGCTCAGCAGTCAGCGTGCCCCAAAGCACCCTGGTGATGCTGAAGGCCCTAGAGCATGCAGACCCACCCAGGAATTCTGGCAGACCGCTAAGGTTTCACTCAGAGAGAGAGAGGCAAGAACGTGGAAAGGAGCGTGCCTGTCCCAGCACGGATGTGAGATGCGGCCAGGCTCCCGTGCCGGGGTGGGCGCCAGGGGCTCGGGCCCCCCTCTGCAGGGCCCCAGCCAGGACGTGGGGGGACAGACAGACAGTACCTTACAGTCGTACTTGTGCTTCAGCGCCTGCATGTCTCTCCCCCCAGCTCTTAAAGCCAAGATGTCTCTCTTAGTCCTGGCGCATCTCTCCTTTAGCCTAGTCAGGTCTGGAGAAAGCTGGAGCCCCCAAGCAGCCAGGCAGAAGGAGAGCAGGTGCGAGGAGCAGGTGGGACGGGAGGAGACAAACAGGACAACAGAGGAGAAAGGAGACCAGGTGAGGTGAGATGTGGGGCATGGGGAGGGCTCCCGCTGGGCATCAGCTCTGGCAGTGTCCCACCCCAACACACAGGCAGCGGGGACTGGGTCCTGGCTGCTGGGAGGACAGGAGGAGGGGACCAGCCAGGCCCCCCTCAGGGAAGGGGGACAGCGCGTGGAAGATAAGGACTGTGTCTCAGGCATCCCCTCATCCCAGGGGCCAGCATGGGGCTGGTAACAAAGGAGGCTCTCAGCGAGTTTGTGAGATTGGATGGGGAGGGGGGGATGGATGGGCAGGATGGGTGGGCAAATGCATAGGAAGATGGGTGAATGTGTAAAGGGATGGTTGGACAGACAGATGGACAATAGAGGGATGGGTGGATGGATGGATGGATGGATGAACGGACAGATAAATGGATGCATGAGCAAATGGATAAACTTAGCTGGATGACCACAGAGCTGGGTAAATGGATGGGCAGGTGAACAGTAAGATGAATGACTAAAAACACAACGGGACTGGTGGATGGATGGAAGCAATGCTGTGCTGGTAAATATTTAACATAGTGCTTCTCCAGGAGAAAGAGCCCTGCTTTGCATTACCACAGTGTGAATACTCTTACCATGGCAAATTTCACACTACCAGTGTGACACCACTGAATGTGGAGTTGGAAAGAGAGTGTACAATTGGTTCCTAGATCTTGCGAGCTAGGAAGAGCCGGCTCTGGCACATCACTGGAGGAAGGAACGGATTAATAGAGGGAGGGAACGCAGATGGGCAACTGGATGGAAGGATGGGTAGCTGACTAGCTTACGTACTATCTGGGAAAATGGATTTATGGAGAGACAAACAGATAGACATTCAAATGCATGAACTGTGTGAGCAATAGTGAATTTTGGTAAAGCATACAGAAAACCAAGACAGTACTAATTCCAGAGTAGACAAGTAGAGGGACCAAGAGCATGAACTCTGGAGGCAGGCAGGCCTACATTCAAATCACCACCCCCTGGCTCACTAGCTGGAAAAGTATCTTTACCTCTTTAAGGGACACCTTCCTCACTGGTGAAGTGGCCAGGACCATAACTACTTCACAGAATTACTGAGATTAGATGGGCAATACATGCAGAGCCCAAGGCTTAGTAAGTGCTCAAAAAGTGGAAGCTGTTATTACACTACCTTACAAATTATAAGTGTTCAATATTTGTTGAATGGATGGATAGTTGGTCAGATAGATGGATGAATGGATGGATGGATGGATACTTGGATGGATGGATAGATGTATGGATGCATGGATGGATGGATGCATGGATGCATGGATGGATGGATGGATGGATGGATGGATGGATGGATACTTGGATGGATGGATGGATGATGGATGGATGGATGGATGGATGATGGATGGATGGATAGATACTTGGATGGATGGATAGATGGGTGGATGGTTGGTTGGATAGATGGATGGATGAATGGATGCATGCATGCATGGATGAATGGAAGCATGCATGCATGGACAGAAGGATGATGTATTTTCTTTCAAATCAGATGTGATATTGAGTTGCAGCTCTACCACGTACTGGCTGTGTGACTCTAACCATATCATTTTGCCTCTCTAAGCTTCTGTCTTAGGTTCTCTGATCAATCAAATGACTTTTAATGCAAATAATACCAACCACTCTAGGATATTAGGAAAATCATATGAACTGCTTTGTAAACTGTACCATGCTAAGCAGATGCTCACTACTATTAGTGCAAAGAAATAGCAGAACAGGGGTCCTTCTGAGAATTACTCAGACTCCCCAAAACCGTGAGAGTTTGGGGTTTATACTGAGTCCTGTTTCATCTGTAAATTGACACAATAAAATCATAAAGGCTCTGGCTTTGTACTGCCCCTCTGCCTCTCTCAGGATTAGAAGAACCAGGATCAGAGGTCAACTACAGACTGGCCAGATCTGAGCAGGGGAGTGAGCAAGGCTGAGGTCAGAGCTGGCGTTTCTGTCCAATGCCCTGGCCAACTGGATCATGGTAACCTCAATTATGAAGAGGTCACAGTGAGAAAAAGGAAAAGTCCAATGCAGCTCGTTCCACAACTGGAAAAAAAAAAAAAAATCCCACTGACCATGGGTTGCAAGCAGCAGGTACTTACTAACATAACAGGATCGGGCCCCTGCTTACATCTAGGTCAGGTGCTTCCGAGGAGGTCCCTCTGCAGACCCCTCAGTCACTTTCTTTGGCAAAAATCCACCTGCTGAGGGCTGACCTTCCAAGACCCCTGAAGGAGGGACTACACTACTTCTCTTGCAGAGAACTCGCCCCCCATCAGACTCCAAGCATAGGGTCAAACACCACCAGATCTCTGCTGTCCGATGCCCCACAGCACACACAAGACACAGCCAAGCAACGGTGGCCCCAAACCATGCAGCCACTGCAGTGCCAGGCATGGAAGCAAGTGGGCCCCAAGCAGCTCAGGAGGGAAGAGCACAGCGGACAAGGCTCAGTGGGGTGTCCAGGGCAGAGGTGGGTGCCAGAGGAAAGCCCCCCCATCTCCCTGGGAGCCTGTTGTTCAGGGAACAGGCAGGCCTTGGCCCATGGCCAGAGAAAACGTCCTCATGGTTAGAAATTCCAAGAACCCTGCCACATGGTTTGCCTGCTGAGGAAGGGTCCGAAGCCCCTAGCTGGAGGGTCTGCAGGATAAGAGCTAACAGGCAGCCCCCAGAGACTCCTTCCCTGGGGCCCAGCCACAGTGAGGGCCAGCCCCACATTTCTCTTCATGGCCCCTTGCATCCCCTGGGGTAAGAGCAAGCAGATGGCCAGCCCGACCCAAATCCTGAACCAGAGGCCCTGGGGGTGAGGCCCTGGTGTCTGCGATTTCCATCAGCTACCCTCGTGATCCTGATGCCTACGCCAGTCTGAGGACCAGCACTGGGGAGCCCAAATTCAGCATCTGCCTGCCTCCTGCCCTCTGAGAGACGTCCATGGTTCCCTCCGGGTCCCCAGCAAGAAGGCAAGGGGCTGGCAAAGCCGCCGCGGGGGATAAGGAGGGACCGCCAGAGGCTGAAAACAAGGGCCAATCCGGGCCTCGAGCACCTCCTGCTTACAGTATCCCGAACCAAGCTGAGGGGCACGAGTCCGGCCCTCATCTTGGGAGGCTCCCCAGGGCCATGCTGGCTTCATAACCAGAGCCCTTTCTCCCCTAAGGCAGTAAACGCTACCCCTTCCCAGGACAGCAGAGGAACAGGACTATTCTTGAGCTTTCGCCTGGGCCATTACTCCAGCCTGGGACACCTTTCCCAGCCCCTCTGGCTTCTGCGCCAGAGACGCCCCCCTCTGACTCGCCCTGTTAGATCCCACCCGTGCCAGGCATGTGGCCGTAGATACTTGGGCTCATGTGTACAGAAAGGCATTTTGGGCTTCATTTTTGACCAACTGCTTCATATTTGATATCTCCTCCTAGACCATAATGGTTGGCCAATTGGGTTGGGTCTTCCTGTTCTGGTGCACCCCTGCCCACACCCTCAGAAATTACTGGGCACACAGTAGGTATCACAGACGCTTAACTTTATCCTAGCAAGACATCAAGGCCGTTTTCTGTGGCCCAGCCTATGGAGCCCCAGCCACAAGACTGGGTTCAAGAGAGACGTGCTCAACTCCCAGGCTTCTCGGGAACTTGAGAAGCCCCGCCTGTGCTGAGGAAAGTCTAGCTGACGACTCTAAGTGTGGGTGCTGCTCTGGCCAGCATCCCCCCTCCAGAGGGGATCCCCAAACTCAGAAAGGGACAGGAGGCACTAGGCAAGACTCGGAGGTGCCCATAACCCCAGCCTTGTCCCGGGGCCCCTGCCTTCTCCCTGCACCACCTTTGGGTGTCTGCCTGTCCGTGTCTTTTCAAAAGGAGGCTGATGGGACCCAGTCACCTCTGGTGGGGCAGGGCCTGCCTGTAAGAAGCTGTTCCCATTAAACCCCAAATCACTAGAATCTGCTTTCTGGTGGCTTCTCTAGAACAAATGGGAGGAGCAGGCTGTCTCAGGAGGAAGCAGACAATCCATCCTCCTCTCAGCTTCCATGGCTCCCTCCATGAAACCAGCAGAATGAACCCTGTTCCAGGCAGAAACCAATGCATGAATGTCATTTTAAAAGACCTTGGAAAGAGGCCTTCTGGGCAATTGTGTCCAAACCATACCAGCACCGCCCCCCTCCCACTCACTTCCCCAGGGCAGAGGACTGTATGGTTCTAGGACTAGTCTCAGAATGCATCCTGGAGGGCAGGGAGACCTAGCTGACTTGATCTAAGTGCCAACTCTAATCAGTTGGCTGGGCTGCCTGAAGCCTATGCTGAGGATGACTCTGCAGCCGGTCCCTTGCCGGGTCCGCCATGGGAATGGGTGGGGGAGCCCCTGGGCCAGGTATTAACCACGCCCATTCCAGGCTCACAGCTCTCCATGGTCAACCAGCAATGCTGGTGGATCATTTCCTATTTTTGGGATACCTGGGCCACCTCCTCTCTCACTGTACATTCCTGGGGGTCATTAATTGGATATGAATCTGAGGCCTGGCCCTCACCACCCTCCTTACCCAATCCCCCAGGGGGTTGCAGTGCCCTGGCTGGGGTGACAGATGCCCGCCCTTACCTTGGGCTGGAAGGACACTCGGTGCTTGGCAGGCTCTGCCTCTGGCTTGATCTCCTCCCCCGAGTCCTCACTGTAGCTCTCGAACTCACTGGAGCTCCAGCCTAGGTCCTCCGCCTCCCTGGGCCCTCCGTCCTGGTGCACATCCTCGTAGAGCAGGTTCCTCTCCACCCCTGAATGCCAAGGGACAGGGCAGTGAGTGGAGGTCCCCGTGCCAAGCCCACCAGACCCAATTTCTGATCCAGGCAGGCAGGTGGGGGATGGGAGGTGGTCACGGTTGGGCCCTGGGGCTCCACCTCCGCCTCCTCGTCCATAAAACAGAGGGGATGACCACACAACATCCACCTGGTAAGTGAGGAGGACACGAGAAAATGTGGAAAGGCACAAGAAATGTGTCAGGCACACAAAAGGCTCCTTAATCCCCTCCCACTACTCCTCAGTATCACTCTTCTGGGATCTGAGTGCTCATCCTGGGCCTTGGGGAATGTTTTAGTGGGAAACAGACCCAGAACCACGTCCTGACTCCGGCCCTCAGCTCCAGCCCCAGCATCCTCAGGGGCAAAATAGAAATTGTCAGGAGCATTAAATGAGTGGGGGACCCCTCACCCCAAATCTGAGTTTCCTATGCCGGTTCAGGATGGTCCAGTAGGGGGCGTGCCTGGCCCAGCGTCCAGGAGTGTTCCCTCGTCTTCCAAGGCCCCACCGGGGAAGTGAGGGACAAAGAGCTGAGAGTCCACTGGCCAGAAGGGACAGGACCCCCAAGGCCGGAGCACGCCTGTGGCCCCCGCCACATCTGGAGTGAGAGGCTGCTTCTCGGCAGGGGTGGAAAAGCCACTGCCCAGGTAGGCCCAGCTCCACCCCAGAGACCTTGGGCTTCTCCCATCTCTCTGGGCTGCACTTCTTGGCCTGTCACCTGAAGAACTGAACTGCAGGCCCCACAAAAGTGAGGCTAGACCCCCAAAAGTGCACAAAGATGAACATGCTTTTGTCAAAGCACAAGAAATATGGTACAAAGGGTTAAAAAAAAATCTGCTCAGAACAGGGAGCTTTGGTTACTGGAGGGAGACCTCTGTGCAAGATGGTGATAATAATAAGCCAAAAGGTCAAGTAAATAAAATATGAACCGGAAGCTCTAGCAAAGAGCCTAGCACATGGCAGGCGCTCAGCAAAGAGCAGCTGGTCCTTGCTCATGGGGGCTCTGGGCGGGCCTGGGTGTCACCCCACTGACCTGGGGCCCCCACCTCCACCCCACACGAGAGCCAGGGAGTGGGGGCTCTGGGAGATTGTCACCCAAAGAACAAACAGACACACTGAGGCTTAGCTGGGGACTCGGGTCTCAGGATGAGGAGGGAGCATAAGGTTATTTTTAAGCAAAAGATAATAGTGATTAATGTCTCCAGGGACTGGAGCAGCTGGTGACCAGGCTGTGACCTTTACAAGGCTGGGCTGATTGTCTTATTACTACAGCAGAGGCCCCATGACCCATGAGCAAAGGGGCAGAGCCCAGTTCTTGGGGGTCCCTCTGAGCAGCCTCTCGAATGCCTACCTCGACACACCTCCAGGAGCCCTGGCCTCCCACCCACCTACACCTCCAGTGTGTGAGGTCTCCTGCTGGATTCTTTTTTTTTTTTTTAGATTTATTTATTTATTTATTTAACAGAGATAGAGAAAGAGCACAAGCAGGCAGAGCAGCAGACAGAGGCAGAGGGGGAAGCAGGCTCTCCACCGAGCAGGGAGCCCAATGCGGGGCTCGATCCCAGGACTCTGGGATCACGACCTGAGCCTAAGGCAGAAGGCAGCCGCTTAACCGACTGAGCCACCCAGGCGCCCCATCCGTCTGGATTCTTAAGATCAGTCAGCAGGGGACAAGTAGTCACCTCCTCATTAGAAAGACAAGAGAACAGGGGCCTGGAGAAGACACGTGGCTTGCCCAGGGTCAGACAGAGCAGGGAGAAAGGGCGGCAGACTCCTAGGCCAGGCTCCCTCCATTCACCACACTGCCTTCCACTGAGGCCTGCCAACCCCACCATCTCCCGGGCTCATTTAGAAATACTCTCTCCAGGGGCACCTGGATAGCTCCGTTGGTTAAGCAACTGACTCTTGGCTTTGGCTCAGGTCATGATCTCAGAGTCCTGAGATCAAGCCCCACGTCGGTCGGGCTCTGCACTCAGAGCAGAGTCTGCTTGTCCCTCTCCCTCCCCCTCTGCCCACCCTGCCTTGCTTATACAAGCGCACTCTCTCTAAAATAAATGAATGAATGAAGAAAGAAAGAAAGAAAGAAAGAAAGAAAGAAAGAAAGAAAGAAAGAAAAGAAAGAAAGAAAGAAAGAAAGAAAGAAAGAAAGAAAGAAAGAA